GCGATTCGCGGGCTGGGCTGCCATTGTTTGGTCTCGGTTATGTGCGACTTCGTTTGGCTCTATCTTCTCTCACACAACTCCGATTCGTACGAAACTTGGACCGAAATTCTCCTCATTGAATTCTCTTCGTCCCGGTATGGCTTGGTCGGATTTTTCGGGTTGGACAACTCGGTCGGTTCGGACGGTTCTCTCCTCGTGCGCGATGAAATGGACCTAATCACACCAAAAACAAAGAGACAACGCGCAAAAATACGAACAAGCTATACAAGAGCAAGAATATACAAAACACAACAAAATGGACCGGTCGAGCCTAAAAACGGACCTAGAAACCACAAAATAAAACACATAAAACACAAGAAAATAAGGACAAAAACACAACAAACAGATATATCATGCTAGGACGAAGCATATTGATGTGAGATTCCACAAGATTAGGGAATGGATTGCTTCTGGTGATATTCAGTTGGAGAAAGTTCATACTGAAGAGAATGCTGCTGATATGTTGACTAAGACTGTTACTTCTGACAAATTCAAGCATTGCTTGGATTTGTTGAATGTTTCTGCATGCTAGAGTTGCATTGTACCCCCGTCCTGCTTGGTGTGTCTCGCAGAGGTGCTCGCTATTGTGTTCTCCTAAGGAGGTTATATATTCGCCAAGGTGGAGATTTGTTGGTATGGCTCATATATTGACAAAAGAAGAGGGCAGGCTGATGCCTGCGAGCCTAACAGAGCGAACGTAGCGAGGGAAGCGGAGCGACCGAGCGAAGTGAGCGGAGTGGAGCGAGCACTTTGAATGAACCATTTTCTGATACGGATCCAACCCTCGGAAGAGGTTTCTACCAACCAAGCCAAATTCTTCAGCAGTATAATCAGCTGTCCAATTCTAGAAGACTTGAGTATGAAATTGGTAGCCGGAGTTTTCACGTTGCGCAAGTAACCGTCCAACTGCAAAGCAACTTCGTACAATTAAAGTCAAATTAGTACAATTGAAGTCAATTTCGTACAATTGAAGTCAAATTAGTACAATTGAAGTCAAATCAGTACAATTGAAGTTGAATTGGTAGCTACCATTTTGGATAATGAATGAACCATTTTCTGATACGGATCCAACCCTTGGAAGAGGTTTCTACCAACCAAGCCAAATTTTTCAGCAGAATAATCAGGTGTCCAATTCTAGAAGACTTGAGTATGAAATTGGTAGCCGGAATTTTCACGATGCGCAAGTAACTGTCCAACTGCAAAGCAACTTCGTACAATTGAAGTCAATTTCGTACAATTGAAGTCAATTTCGTATAATTGAAGTCAAATTAGTACAATTGAAGTCAAATTAGTACAATTCAAGTCAAATTAGTACAATTGAAGTTAAATC